GGAGGATACGCTCATTGAATCCATCAACGCATTACGCAATCTGATTAATCCGCCCGAGCATCTTAATGCACTGGGTATATAGACGAGTTTACTGGCGCCTTGAAAGACTGAGTAAAGACATTAATGACCTGCCAAGCCATTCAATAATAAATTGATACTACAAAAGACCCGATGAAAGAGGCAATCTTCAGGTTTACCTTCTAAAGATTCTACAGATTCAATTAATGATATCCAAATTGAAATGTTCGGCCACACAGAAATCGTGACAAAGTTTTAGACAAGACTGACAGACAGAACCCCCGTCCATATTTCATATTTCTTATTGCTTCAGATATCAAAAAATATTCCTACACCCAGCACGTGGGCAGTGGAAATACCAAGTATATAGTTTATGTTTGTTTATATTCGCATTTAATTGATTTAGAAATTCAAATTGGCGATCGTGTCTGGGAGCTAACATCATTAGGCAGAGAACTAGTTTGCACACTAGAATTTATATTTTAAGTAATTGCATTGCAAACTCCCGATCGCAAGCAAATTTAGTCGTAATATGTAAAGTAATTCCCATTACGTCAAATTGATGTCTACTGAATGAGTATGCATGAATTTCAATTTCCAAAGTTTGCATAAATTGGCGAATGAGAAGTTGAAAAAAGATCAGTAAGTGGAGGACAACCACAATCCTATCCGAAACCAGACTCCAACTCTAACTGATCAGATTGGAGATAAAGCGCATTCAAGATTTATGACTAACTACACGGAGGGAAATTGCAAAAGATTTTAAATAATAAAAATGTTGTGAAATTTAAAATTTAAAAAAGGGTTTTTTAAAAGCTGATTTTATTAACAAGATGAAAACTAGAAATTATATCAACTAGAAATAATATCATTTTATATATTTTAAAATTTTAAATAATATTTTTTATTTTATTTAAAGGTTTCTTTTATATAATAAGATATTTTTAAGATATTTTACATCAAACTTTTCGCTCGATTTGCATACCTAAAATATATTTCAAAATAACACTTTTCAAATTTAATTTTTTCACTTTACCCATTAGGCAATAAGCTTACTATTTCTTGTGCAGTCTTTCCATTAATCCCCCAATTAATACATATATTTTCTTGCAGTGCCCTCGAAGTGGCCTGCTACTTTTGCATAACTCCCCCCAGTCGCGCCTATCGATGCGGATAATCGCTGCCAACTTGGCATCGCATCAAGTCCGACAACACACACAATGCATGCCAATTAATTAAGACCTAGCACGGGTCCCTGCTCCCCGACGACTTATTTGGCTAATTGTCTTTCGATCGGGCGAGCAGATAGTGGCCGAAATTAATATACATATGTATATACTTATGCCAGCTACCCACAGACGGTTAAACAAAATTAGATTAAACGGGTTGCGTTGCGCACGCGCTCAAAGGCGGCTGCCGCCAATTATTGTTAACACGGGCAGGCAAATCGGTGGAGATACCGATTCCGAGGCGCCAGTCCAGGTGACGGCGCTTGGCGTTTAGCATAAATTAAAAATGATATTATTTAGCAACAGATTGCTATCGTACAAGGGCAATTAAAAGGCGCGGGTCGGACAGCTCTGTTATTAAGCCCAAATGATTCTCGTAGGTGATGAAAATGTAATATAAAGTTGCTTAACATCGGCAATCAGTGGGAATTATGATTAAATGAGACTCCTTTGTTTCTTGCTTTTTAAGAAAAATGCATAAACAACCCGGGACAATGGCCATTGTCCTGGGGGCCTGTAAACAATGACAACAAGTTCCGAAAACGAAAATAAAGCCCCAGCATGAATGCAATGGATAAAAACGTAATGGCAAGGTCAGCGAAATAACGTCACGATGATTCAATGGAATTGCAGCAGACGAAATTCTGGTAAAATCAAAAAGCCAAAATCAGAAAATGTACACAACAAAAAAAAGCTTTGAATGCATTAAAGGGGAAGTCCCAGTGCTTGAAAATATTTATAGAGCCAGGGGAAAATATAAAATTTACAAAAATAAAGCCTTATCAAAATTCAAACCTTATGACCGGCGATCGTGGGAAAGTTTGCCTCTAATGCAAAATGCTGATTAGGACTAATCCGAAGCCCGCATGCCACGCCCACCGCAAATAATTCACGGCAATCTTTCACAACAATTATGCGCAACGCCGGCGAGCTAATATTTATGTAAACATGGACACGGACAGCGATTTTCACTCGGGCCGAACCACGTATCTTCGCATCTGTGGGATGCAACTGCATCTGAAAGTCAATCCGAGTGTAAGGCCAGGTTAATGCCTCAAACCTGTTCGTCTTCTGGCTATTTATTTTTGCGGCATATATATATATTTTGTTAATTTTGTTACCTTTGGAGCTGTTTTTTTACCGCAGCTAGTCCAGCTACTTGATTTAGGAGTTTACTTTGGCAAAGCACTGAGGGAAATTGTATTTATATTCAGAAGGAAAGTTATTTAATGATAAAAACAAATGGAATAAATTATAATTTAGTTCAAAACACTACACAGAATACAAGTTATTTAATTTGTTTATTTTATTTCATTAAATTTTACAACCCAAAAAGGTTGAAGCTATTTTTCTGGTATAACTGAATTTAAATACATTATATTTCGCAGCTCTTCTCGGGGGCCTTCCCCTATTTTTCTCTATCTGCACCGCTAACTTGCCGACAGCTGGCTGGCGAGGGACCGGACCGGACCCTCTCGATCTTTCAGCACCAACTGCCTGGTTTCGTTTAACAATATTAATATGAGATGCGAATATGCGGAATTTATCGGGCAACAAGTGGCGGATACTACATACTACTGGGCCTGTTTCTAATTTAAATATTTCGCAATGTTGGCGCGAGAACCATTCACAAATGACCTAATTGAGACGTAGGTCCCCCCCAGTTATCTCCTGCAGTGATTGCTCACGCCGCTCGGCCTGAGTCAGTGTTATGTGTTAATGGCACGACATGACGACATCGAATGCAAATTGGTGGCAAATTTTAATTCATTTGAATATTTGCATCTATGGCTTTTTTAGTGAAAAGTCGTACATGTTTCTGACACTGACTCATGAAGATTTATACATGTTCTCGGAGAGGTGCTGCTGGCAGGCAAGCAGGCTCCTAAATTGGCATACATTGTTGTGTGTTCAGTTGTTCTGGTTTCATTACACAGAGTCCCCTTTTCCATTTTTAATTTTCACCCTTCTTCACCCTCACGCCCTCTTTTTCCAACTAATATTGGTGGCGTTCCCTTTTGCAGTTATTCGCATCGTGCAAATGTTTATGTGTATTACATCAAAGTACATTTGTTTTTCAGGCGGTTGTCGGTTGTCCCACTCTTGCTGCTGCCACGAATTAGAGTCACAAGAGTCGGCGACAAAGGGGAAGGGGAGCCTTCAACACTGACGCCATGTCAGGCCCACAGTTAACAAATGTGTACCGAAAATGTTTTTTGTCAAAACTTTCAGTCCTGTCCCGTCAATTTGGGCGAAACGCGGGCTACCGTAGCTCCGTAGAATTTGCCATTTTCCATTTAATTAAGACAAGTTGGGGACAGCCCGCATGGAGATAAAGCCAGGCTTATTTGGTGGCTATAAACAGTATATGGTGGGTGGGGTAAAAACAAGTTTATATATATAAAATAAAATTAAATTTAAGACTTGCCAGTTCAATCAGTTGGCCGCCTAATCATTTTATTTTTATTATCAATTTAATTTCTATGTACAATTTTAATGTTGCAATTTGCATGCATATGCTAATCCAGCAAATCAAAAGAAAGTCATAAAAGATGGCTTTTTAATTTGTTTATTTTTAAAAATAATACATTAAATTTGTACAAATATAGTACATAGCAACGGAAAATAAAGATAAGGAGTAGAGCAATACTTGCGGTATAAAAAATTATGAGTGGCTTTAAGAACTTTATTTGCTCATAATTTGAAAGAAAAAATCCAGAGCCCAACCCATTTTGAAGAACTATAAACATTTTGTTATTAAATACTTAAATTACCACATAATTCCTCTATAATCGACCCCAGTTTTAAGGCAATTTATATGAATATCACACATTGCAAAATCTAATTCAACAGAAAATCCTACTGTCAAAGACGACACCCAAGAAATGATTACAGTTTCGAAGAATTGCGACACCTATCAAACCGCGATTTATATCCAGTAATTACAAACCTATTTCGACACGACTGCAATATGCAATTATCGCGTTAAGAAAATATATGTACACTTAATGCTGTGCACCCATAAATCGGAAAATTCGCAGGCGGAAAGTTGACATATTGACTAGCCCCTCGACAGCTTCAATTTCCGCTGCTAAACCGGAGATCGCTCAATCAACATAATGCCGTTGGGAGATCATTAATGTCTAAGACTCTAAATCTTGAAGGCAAAAATCAGACAAGGCAGAGTTAGCAAACTTTAGTATATTGAAATACTCTTTATAAATAAATATTATATAAAAAACCCTACTTTTTGATTTCTATTAAACGGAAAACATTACGTTTTTCCTGTTTCCGTTCGATAATAAAATGTAGTAATAATTTCAATTGTCATCCCTTGTTAACAGATATATTTAGCTTTTTTGCATAATTTTGCAATGATATAAATGCAAATAAAATGGGTAAACATCTTTGTATTTGCCCCGAGTTATACTCGTATTTATTAATGAGCTGCACAAACATGCATAGTCAATTTTCAGTTCATTGCCATTGTTTTGGCTTTGTTTGCCTTTGGAGTAGTTTGTTTGCCGTTGACTAAAGACGATATAAAAAATAGAGAAAATAAGTAAATGTTATTTAATAGGCGACGCCCACTCAATTATCGCAAACTATAAATGCGCCCTGTGCATTTTTGCCTTCCATTCGGTAATATCTGACTTCAAGTGGACCGCAGGGCAATATGGCATTATTTTTTGGACTTTACGTGACCGACAGATGCCATCAAAGGTAAGCGCTTAAAATAGTTTTCGGACTTACCAGCCTTCACTTAAATGGCAATGAATTTTTCCACGTATTCCCTGGCGGATGAGGGTCTCTCTACTGCTGCATAGTTTCGGGCGACAGCTTCCGGTAGACAGGACACTTTTTCACAATGCCTTCAGACACTTTTCTTTTATGCCCGGCTCCTTTGTACTCTCGGGTATTCCGTTCTTGCAACTCACTACACTACACAAAACAGGCGAAACGGTTTCATTTAGAATAAGAGATCAATGGAAACGTCGGAAGGGGTTGAGATGTAAAGTGGCATTGACATTGGCCAGTCCATTGTCCGGCAGTGGGACAAAGCCAAATCCAGAGCCACAAAGGCGAACAGAAGGATTGCTGAGCACAAAACACTAAGTATACCGATCGGCACTAGGCTAATACTACATTTCACACGCAATTTTGCACTGGAATAAAGGTATTCTAAAACTAAAGCGAGCTACTATAGTTGGTTTACTGCCTTTATTTTAATCTTAATTATTAAACCAGAACTTTTGGAAGAACAAAATAATAAATGTGGGTTTTTTGATAAAATATTAATAAAATAAAACGTTTAGAATATATTTTTAAAATATATTTAATATAAAAAGGTAAACAAATTACAAATTACAATTATTATTTAAATAATTCCTAAGCTTTAAGCAGGTTTTTTTAATTGGGGAATAATTTAGATTTATTTAAATATTTATTTTCGGAATATTTCTTTTTCTATATTTTTTTAAATATATTTTTAAGTCACACTTTCAATTACGAAAAGTTCATTTCCGTTTTAAATATTTACTAAATTCTACGATTTTTGTTTGTTTATTTGTTTGTTTTATTTATCAATTTATTTAAAGAATCTTGATTTTAGAGCCTCATTTATTTCCGTGCAGCAATCTTAGCCGGCAAAAAACACTGCACTCACATTCCCACACCCGGAGACGCGAATTTTGTATATTTTTTATGAATCGCTGGTGGAGCACGCCTCGAAGTCGATGGCACAAAATTCGCGTGTGACTGCCCTGCGATGCGCTCCGTTCGGCGGACAGACTGTGACTGAGACCGAGACTGAGGCTAAAAGCTGGCGACTGATTGCGAGGCGGAAACTGCGTCGGCGGCGCCAAAAGCTGCTCTGCCGCCGGAGCCGTCGACGCCGACGACATTGGCAGAATGCCGGTCTATATATGCCTTTGCTATAGTATGCGGTGGCTACTGTTTGTTTGCCGCCTCTTGTTTGGCAGATACTTTCGTTGTCCGTTGTTGATACTGATGGAGCACAAAATTCGAAATGCAATTAAAAGCGTTGTTTGAAAGAATTCGAAATGGCAGATAACTTTTTCAGGAAAAGCCAGAAAATGCTTTGGAAAGGCAAAACAAAAACTGCCAGCCTTGTAATTTGTTAATCAAATTTTGGGCATAGCAAGTAAATAGTTTTAATTGATTTTCAAGTATCAGAGATGTAAAAAGCTTGGAATAATAATAATAAGATAGAATTTAAAATTAAGCTTAAATTGTGACCAACTTAATAAAGCTTAAACTGAAAAACAGCAAGCTTTGAAGTGTTACTAACTAAGCTAAGTTAAACCATTTTATTTAAATTTGTTTTGGCATTTTATGAGGATTTAATTGAATGTTAAGTTTAGAATAATTGAAATAAAATGCTTAGTTTATTATTTAAGATTTCGCATAGGTATAAAAATATGCTTTAAAGCCTTTGAAATTATTAGATTAAGAAGTGGTAAAAATTTCTTAGACAGATAATGTAACTAGTGGTTAATCTTATCTTTATCTTGTATCTTGTTAGCCTAATTATGTGTTAATCTCACCAAAAAATGTGGCCCACAATTTAAGATTAGTCAAGCTTTTCAAGAACATTCCTACAAAAGTTTAAATAAATAATTTATAATGAGGTACGTTTTCTTAAAGTTTCAGAAAACTACATATATTATTTAATCATTTTTAAAGTATTTGTATTTATTTCACTTATAAGTCTTATATCTTTTTAAAGAAAGATAAAATAAACATTTGTTTTCTTTTGCTTTTCAAAACTCTATCTATATTTTAATCTCTATCTATATTCCCCAGACATTTCCAATTCTCTGTGTTTTGTGTTTACAGAACTCGTGCGAGTCAAATCAAGACGCAATTTCGACGGGGCTCAGTGCAATTTAGTGCTGCTCCAACTTCTGGTGACTTACCTGCTGCAGTGGCCAGGTGTTTTCCCACCGTAAACACCTGCTGTCCTGGACTGCAACCACTTGGCTATAAATAGGAGCAACTAGAGAAGACAAACCCAGCGGGCAACACTTTCGTTTAACTTTTGCGGCAGCAGAAATTAGTTCCCAGGCGGCCTCCATAAGCTTGGCAAGAAAAAAAGGGCTAAAAACTTAAAGGAAAAAGGAAAGGAAGCAAAGGGGGCCGGCAGTCGATATGGCGACATGTGCCCCTGGTCCCACATGTGCCGCCGGGGCAAGTTTGCTTTCTTAATTATTTACACGTAATAAAACTAAGCATAATTTTCCAGCGGCAACTAACCCGTCGAGGAACGCACTGGCGCCTCATTTCAAATTCTATAAATAATTTCAAAAGCAGTTGATACGTATCGCCAAAGGCTTGCTTACCAGGCGTCTCCAGAAAGCCGGAAAAATGGAAAACACATTCATACAAGTTGTTGGATAAAGAGAGATAGAGTGAGAGAGAGAGAGAGTCTAGAAGCGCGAGAGAGTCAGACTCTGCTGGCAGAGAAAGAGAACTGCGACTGTTACGCTGGCAGCGCAGCAGCAGCGTCACATGCGGCGTATGCGTAATTTTGTCAGCCTTATCAGAAAGCCATTGCAAGCAAAGTTTATTTTAAAGAGCCGGGCCATTTATCGAACTTGCAACGTGTTGTTGTCTCCTGCGGTCTGTGGCACATGCACACCGCCCTTTCCCCCCTTTCGGGATGGAGCTCCTTTGGCCAGGATGCAGCCTATCCCAACACAAGAGTCGCGCTTGTTTGCACGCCGACTGCCCAAAGCCCGCCAATTGTTTATTCAAGCAGCATCGCAGCCCATGTGCACTTGAACTGCCCGGGCCCGAGCTGCTGTGCTCCTCTGCCCTCGCCAATCCTCTCCCTTGGCCCGGCATGCCTGTGCATTCATTGGGTCTGCAATGTGTTTGTCTGGCCATTTTTTTTTCTCTGGCTCTGGAAGCCAGCCTTCGTTTGGCACACTGCTGGGAAATATATACATTTTTATGCATTTTGGTCTTAATATTTGTAGATTATTCGCAGCCTAAGGGCTTCTTAATCTTACTTGAAATTATAGCGAAGTTTTTATAGTTCCTTGTAAAGTTAAAATATGAGATATATAATTTATACAACAATTTGATTTCTCAACTTTATTTTGAAAGAAATACCCATGAATATATCCTCAAACTTTCCATAACCTTTCTCTCCGTGTAAAAACCGCTCACTGCAGTTGTTATCGCGGCAGTTTGTTGTTGTCGCCTGGCTTAAACGGCTCTTAGTGGCAGTGAATCAGTGGCCAAACATGTAATCTGTTTAATGGCCACTGACCGTGCTCTCCGGACCCGGCTTCTGCTTCTGCTACAGCTCCTGCTCCTCCCTCCCAGCCTAGCCATCGCGTATACGCACCGTTGGCCGGGCAAATGCTTGGAATTTGCATAGAGCTTTATTTCAAATACTTGTACTCTTTTCGGCATCTCTATGTAGTGCCCACCTGTTGCTCGGAAAGAAATACAAATGCCATTTAGACATTTGGACATTCGGGGGCAAACAAAAAACGTGGTTAGAAAAAAACACACACAAAACGTTAAATAACAAACAAATAACGGCTGCAAAAAACAAACAAAACATATACCAAAAGCGAGCGTAAACTTGTTGGTCTCCGTCGCGCCACTGATTTGCATAAACCGCAAAAAACCAAGCTAAAAGCGATAAAAGATTTACAGATCTCTGGCTGAGTAAACAACAATAAATAGAAACATTGCTCGCCACTTTTGGTTTCAGAGACGCTTTTCAATTAGTCGCCAAAGGAGTTGGCATTGTCGATCCCTTTGCCTAAACCGCAAATCTAGTCGGTTTTCGAGAGTTTTGATTACACAGTTGGGGAACCTGCTCTACAAAAGCGTTTTGGTGGTTTTTTATGGACCTTTTATCGATCTCAAATAACAGTTCTAAAATAAGTGCCTTATACGAACGAAAAACTTGGTTCATAAGCATAAATAAAACGAAGCGAGTTGCCTTGACTTGGCCAACTGAAGCATTTTTAAAGTTTAAAAAAACAAAAAGCATTTGCATTTCCACAAAGAGATAAGAATGGGGTTGCATCTGAGATCCTGGTAGAACATTTTCAAATGAAACATGCGATTTTATCAACTTTTGAGCAATTAAAACTTATAGTTCCTGAATTGATATAATCTGATTGTTGCCTATAAAAAACCTTAGTAATATTATCTTCTGTTCCAAAACCAGAATCGTATATTTTGATGACCAAGTTTATGGTTTCCAGACCGTTTATAGATCTCGTATAAAAGCGGCTAAAGAAGTGTTAAATATTTTCATCCGAAATCAAACCCGATTAGCATCCAACTTGATTCGCAACGATTTGGTTTATTCCCATTCATTTGCCCTAATTAAGTGAAATATGGATTTGCATTTTGACTAAATAATCCGAACATCGTTTTTGATTAGATCTCGTTTTTTGGCAGTTAAATTTTGAGAGCAATAAAAGCGCTAAGACAGGTGGGCTTACAAAGAGTTGGGCTTTTGGCAAAAAAAATTCGGGACTAACAAGCGGACTGAAATAATATTATTTATTTTACAACATTCTTAAATAACATTATTGTTTAAGGATTATTATTACTAATTTAACGGTTATTTCTGTGTCCATAAAAAACATTTTTATATTATAAATTCTGATAAAAAAAAATGTGATGCATTATGTGAGATTTCTTTTTTTTAAACATCGATTATTAATCGATTGTTTTTATGAAAGTAAGCAAACATCGATGTTTTTCCAGCACTTAAGCGCCATCTCTTGCGATTTTGACCAGATACTGGGAACAGTATTGTACAGTCTCCACATACAGAGGGCGCAATAATGCCACTCTCCAATAATAGATGGCTGTTTTGTTCTGGGAAATTTCTCTTATACTGCTAATCATCAAAGTTTTCAACCCTGTTAATTAAGTGTGACCAACTCCTGCTTGCTTCGGAATTCTCATCCTTTGTTTCCAAATGTATTCCATATTAATTTAAATTCTCACAGTCACACTGCAATTAAAAAATATAAATAAAAGTCTTTGTTTTTCTGTTTTCATCGAAAGTTCCCCTCCCCCGCCCCTGTTTGACCAAAAAGAAAATGAGCTGGCGCGACAGCATCACCAGCATTCCCGGCGCTGTGGCCCACATCCTCAATGAGAGCGCCAACACTCTGCTCTCGCACAGCTCCGCCCTGTCTGGAGCAACAGTTGGCAGTGCGTTCTCTGGAGGATCGGGCTCTGGATCTGATGCCGGGGGCTCGGAGGAAGGTGCCCCGCAAGGCCAGTACCGGGGGCTGCCCATTCCCGCTTCGCTGGTTCGCGAGCAGTGGCGCCTGATCTTCACCAGCGACGCCAATATCCAGGATCTGCAGGCGGCCATTGCCCATTGTAGGGATCTCGTCCTGCTGAGCGAAGAACTCAGCGAGGAGCGGCGCTGGTTGGTCAGGCACCTAGTGGACCTACGCTACTCCCTGCAACAGCTGGAGGAGGCCCAGGAGCAGCAGTCGCTCTCCTCGGACATTGTCGTGATGAACGCCATCCGGGCAGTGGTGGGACACCACTTTGTGCCGCATCACCCGCATCACGGCAAGCGGAGTCGCCTGCAGGCGGCCGCTAGGAGAAACTACTGCGATCATTGCACCGCCATTATCTGGAGTGTGGTGCAGGCCTCGTACGTGTGCAGCGACTGCGGCTACCTGGTGCACCAAAAGTGCATCGATAGTGTAAAGCGAGTGTGCGCCCATGTCCTGGTCTCGGAGCGCCAGTATCCCGTAGCGGAGATCTGCCCGGAGATTGGCCTGGCCGCCCAGGGATACAAGTGCGCCGAGTGCGGAACGCTGCTCAACCTAAGTGAGTGATAATCCCGTGGAGGAAGATGCTCAAAATATCTAATTAATTATTTTCCAACAGAAAACTCCTGGATAGAGCCACGTCTGTGCGACTACAGTGGCCTGTACTTTTGTCCCCGCTGCCATTGGAATGACAGCAACTTTATACCAGCCCGCATAATCCACAATTGGGACTTCTCGCCTCGGCGAGTCTCCCGCACTTCGCTCCAGGAGATCCGGCTGTTTTTGAACAAGCCGCTCATCCGTCTGGAGGAGGACAACCCCAAGCTCTTTGTGTTCGTTGAGAAGCTGTGTGCGGTGAAGAAACTACGCCAGAATCTGGTACACATGCGTCACTATCTGGCCGCCTGCAAGCTAGCCAGCGATCAGAAACTGGTGGATCAGCAGCTCGGCGGCAGACGACATCTGGCGCAGTCCAATGAGTTTTACTCGCTAAGTGACTTGGTTCAGGTGGACACGGGAGCCCTCACAGAGTTCCTGCAGGCTGTGTTCAAGGTTTTTGATGACCACATCCGATCGTGCCACATGTGCCTGGCCCAGGCGTACATCTGCGAGATTTGCAGCAACAACGAAGTAATCTTCCCCTTTGATGATGGCTGTATCAAGTGCGATCAGTGCAACTCCATCTACCACCGGGTCTGCCTCACGCGCAAGAATATGATTTGCCCCAAGTGCACTCGCATCCAAGAGCGGCGTCTTCAACTAGATCGTATGAAGAGCACCGAGGAGGAGGACGAGGACGAAGAGGCCACCGATGATGGCGTGGCAATCGCCTTTTGAATTTCAAATTCGCTCGTATCTGTGCTGGTTTTTAATGTTATCATATGTACATAGGGTATAACCAAAAAAAATATATATATAAACTACTATTACAATCAAGACTTAGGTTTACCTTTCAGTTTTCCTTCTTTCCGTACTTTTCCCGCTTGTGGAACTTTCTGGGATTTATGCCATAGGCCTTCAGTCGGTCGTCGGTTATGCCACTCGAATTTTTGTTTATTTTATTTTTCGCCTTGAAGTTGTGAGTTTTCTTTGCTCCGCTGGGCTTGTGTTCCGATTTCTTGAAGGGATTGGGTCCTTGTTTAGCGTTTCCTTTTTTGTTATTAAATGGAGCTTGTCCTGGCTTTGAGTTTGGCTTCTTTTGTTGCTTATTAAAAGGATTATTTCCATTTGCTGTTTCAGATTTTTGCGTTGGGGTTTCAGTTTTCTTTTCCGATTTATTTTGCTTTTGATTTTCCGTTCCATTTGCTATAAGTTTAGGGGGTTGTCCTGGCTTTGAGTTTGGTCTATTTTGTGGCTTATTAAAAGGATTTTTTCCGTTTGATTTTTGCAGTGCGTTTTCAGTTTTCTTTTCAGAATTCTGCTTGTGATTTTCCGTTTGATTTGCTGTAGTTTTAGGTGCCTTTTTGCCTTTGTTTATCTTATTCTTTTCCGATTTATTTTGTGTTTGCTGTGGTGGAACATTTGCTTGTGCACCTTGCTCTTGTTTGCTCTTTTTTGGAGCAGGAGAATCGTCCTTTGCTTGGCTTTCATTTGCCTCTTTTGGCTGCTGCACCTCCTTGGATTCATCTTTGGGGTTTTGTGCAGAAGTGGCGGCAGCTGCTGCAGCAGCTTTACGTTTCAAGCGTTTTCTCTTCGATTTGGATAAACTTTCCGTGGGATTTTGAGACGATTCCGCAGGAGTAGGTGTTTCGGCAGCTGGTTGGGCACTTGAAGTATGTCCAGTTGCTTGATCCTCATCATCGGAACTAAATTTAGGCAAAGAATAAGACTTAATTCTAATAAAAACAATATTAAAGACTTACCCCTCCCCGTAAAGACTCTTGAAAATCTTCCGCTTGAGGTCCTCATTCTTGGCCTTCATCTTGTACAGACGCTGCTCCTTCTTTTCCACATGCTCTGGCCGCGTTTGGACAGCCTTTTTGAGACTGGCCCACTGGTTAAGCTCCTTGTTCTTGGCCAGCAAGATCTGCAAGTCAACAAGTCAGACAATAAGTTTTCCCATAAATCCTCGAACCCTGAGAGTAAGTACCTCCTCTATTGTCAAACCAAAATCGTTGGGTGTGGTCTCCACATATTTGAAGCGACATGGCTGATCACCGATGATGTCTTCGCAGTCCAATTGATAGTATTCGTCTATGTACTCGCCGTAGGTTTTCTCATCCTCCGGATTGAATGCCGGCTTCTCGGCCTGGATCATCTCCATGAAGCGATTCCGCCTGCCCTTACGGCCCTTGCGACCTCGCGTGCTCTCGATGAGCTCTTGCTGGAGTTGCTGCTTGGCCGTGGATGGATCGTAGTCACAGTCCATGTTGAAGTCATCGTCCTCGCAGTGCCCTTCGTAATCCTCATCGCCGCCGTCCTTGTGCTGCCTGGGATCGTAGTTATCCCAGTCCTCTAGCACCAATTCATCGATATCCGAGGGGCACTCCGGCTTCTCCTCGCCCTCGTCCACGTTGTAGTACTCGTCGTTAAAGAGCTCCTGCATGCGTCGATCGTGGGCAGCTGGATCAAAGTCCTCCTCCAGTTCGTCGTCGCGAAAACCAAGCTCATCATTGCCGGTGACCGCTTTCAGTTTACGTATCTTTTCCTCGATCTCCTTGCGCTTCATCTCCTTGATCAAGTCGAGTTCCTTCATCTTCTGCTGCTTCTCCTGCTCCTTGCGCTCCTTCAACTCCTTACGTTTTTCCTTCCGCTTGTCGTCCGTCCGTCGGATGGACTGCTCCACGGTGCGGGGATATCGCTTGATGAATTCCGCATCAGGTTCCTCGAAGCGAAAGTTGTACTTGTGCTCGAACTCCGCCTGCTTCTCCAGCTCCTGTTCGTCCTCGGACAAGGGCGCGGTTTCGCCCACAATCTCGTCGTAGGTGGGAATGGCGGACTCATCTGTTTTGGCATAGCCCTTGTTGAGGATGTAGTCCCTAAGGAAGCTCTCGCCCTGCGTCAGCTTGCTGCTGTTCCAGTACTGCTTCAGTGGCTCCAACTGCTTCTTGTCCGTATCTTGAATGTTTTCCTGTTGGCCCGCCAGCCACTTGGTAAAGTCTGCCTCCTCGGCCTCCGTTTGCTCCTTGGTCTTGCTGCGTTTCTTGAATATACCGCCGAATTCCTCGTCCTCCCCATCATCTTCCTGGTTCATCACATTGCGAAACTCATCCTTTAGACGACGTTCCTCCTCGACAGCGGTTGGAGACTGTGCCCGCTGATATTCCTCCTCCTCCTTCTCCTGCTTCTCCTCATCCGAACTCTCGAACTTGCCATTGTGCTCGAGAATTACTTTTCTCTCATAATCCTTTAGGGTAACTGGCTTTGATTTCTTCTTCTTCTTGGGAGAAGCCTCCCCCTCCCCCTCCTTGTCGCCCTCATCGCTGGAGGATTCGTTGAAGAAGCGTGTTTCCTTGTCATAGATCCGCGGGTCTTTGCTCTTCAGAGAGGAAAGCGTCTTGAAGAAGTCCTGGTCAAACTTGGGGTCCACCTCATCCTCCTCGGATGACTCGCTGTCGCTGTCGAATTCGGATTCCGAAACGTCCAACCCTCGATCCTTATCTAAAGGAAATAAAGTTAAGAAATGAGAAATTGTGCAATGATAGCAATTCAGGCGCTTTACATTTCTGGAGGAGCTCCTTCTTGCGCAGGTTGTTGTAGGTCTTGGCATAGTCCTGGTTGGTGGTCAGCTGCAGATCGTCTCCTTCATCATCCGAGCCTTCGAATAGATTATTCATAGTTTTGTTTATTTTCCCGGATTTCTTAAAAAACTCTCCCGATTCCACACGTGTTTATGGTAACATCAGCGCTGCTTATGTAGCTATTTCCCCGCTAGATATATATATTAAAGTCGTGACAACTATCGATGTTTTTATCGATAATGTGTCATACCTAAGTTTTTATATTTACAATTTTAGCAAGTTTTGTAAATTACCGTAAAACTTAAGCAATTTAGCAACATTCCAAATAGATGGCAGAGACACCTGAACAACAAGGGGCCTTGAGCACCTCCTCCTCCTCCACGCCCGCCGACAAGGACTCCTCCAAGAGTAACACATCCCCACCTTTTTTTCTATCACAAAGGTGTTATCATTTTTTCTATAATTTTCTTCTTAGTTTGTGTGCTCCTAAACGCAACGGGAAATGTTCCCATTATCAAGAAGCGCACATGGACTGTGGATCCCAATAAAACCGTCAGCTGGATCCAGAAGTTTATCCACAAATTCCTGAAACTGGACGCCAATGAGCAAATTGCAAGTACCACCCCATAAACCCACCCAGAACCTCAGCTCATTGCAAATCTTTATATTGCAGTTCCTCTACGTTAACCAGACATTCGCTCCCGCCCCAGATCAGATAATCAAGAACCTGTACGAGTGCCACGGGACCAATGGCAAACTGGTGCTCTACTACTGCAAGAATCAGGCGTGGGGCTAAATCGATACGCACTTGATTTGGCTAAATCTTAAGTATTTATTGTGTATTTTAATTAATGTAAATAAGCTGATGTTGCGAACTCGATTTCACACTTTATTTTCCCCAAAACGGGGGCCTAACAATTGTATTTAAATGAATATTACAAGGGGTTTAGTCTCCACGCAGAGCCTCCAGCTCGTCGGCAGCCTCTTTGGATACCCTGTGGTACTTGGCCACCGAGGGTCGGTAGTAGTAGGCCTGGTAATCGTTGCGCTCGGACATCTTGCGACGCACCTGATCCTCCAGAAGGCTAAAAAGATAATTATGATTATAGAAGCGAGTGGATTTTAGAGCTCCTGGTAAGACTTACCGGATCTGCGCCTTCTCGTTCTCCTCGAACAGGTAGTGCAGGGATTTCTCGTAGTTTTGCTGCTCCGAGTTCAACAAGTAGCGGGAAATGAAACGGGAGATAGGGTGCTGCAATGGAGAACGAAAATATTTAATTTATCATCACGTAGATAAAGCGGCTTGTCATACCTTCTCGTACTCCCAGTGTTTGGGCTCATAGCCCTCTGGGATCTCGGCCAGCTGCGCCGGGCCCACGAAGATGTTTGCGTAGAGAACCAGTCCAGTGACCGGGATCAGGCCGAGCATTACGTAAAAGTGCATCAGATCCTTGAACTTGTCCCACTGGAAGCGCGACGGCTTGATGGTCATGTGGTGGTGTCCATGATCGCCGCCCATCCTGCGCAGCTGTTGTTGCAGGGCTAGAAATCCAGAGTAGTTGGTTGCGTAATGTGGAATGTGTTTACCGCCGTCGCAGCGCGGAGGACTCACCATTCCGGCAGGCGGGAGTCTGCAGGACAGCCCGGAAGTTCGCGAACTTGGCCGCCGGCGTCAGCAAACGGCTCCAACCGACCATTTTAATCTATTTTGATTTTTAATTCACGATTTGCAGCTGGTCGCGTCAAAGATGTGAGCTGCTGGGCAGCGATGAATCGATGTATCGATAACTGGTAAAAACACGAGCAGCACTCACGCAATACCAATAGTTCTATAAACAATTTTTTAAACTAAAAATTATTTTTTACACATCCGAAAGTATGCGTGTAAATCTTACTTTATTTTTTAAGTTTCAAAAATAAAATAGTTTTCCAGTTTTTGAGTTTTAAAACATTGTTCACTTATACTTATAGATTAACATTTATTTGTATGTTTTTATTATTATTTATTTTTATTTATTTTATTAAATTAAAGAAAAAAATTAAATACCTTAAAAAAAAACCTCGTGACACGAGTGTCTTGTGTGGCGGCAGTGCTGGAAAATAGTTCTAGGTAAATCGGTAATATCGATATCGATAATGTGGATAAGTAGACGTTGACCATCACTATTCATCCACAAAAACAACGTCTGGAAGTAAAATTAAAGAAAACTTTTTTTTTACTAATAAAAGGTACTTTCCTAGCGCATTCTGACTCATAAAAAGAGTACAAACTCCAGGAATTTGTGAAACAAGAGCAGGTGCTATCAAATAAGTGTAAATCAAGTGAGCTGGCTGAATGTTTAAGGTTCACACCCGCCCAGTTTGCTGATAAAAGCTCATACAGCGTATAAAAAAAAAGTAAATATCATTAAGGTGATGGCAAAACACAAATGCGCAGTTTGTTTGCAATAATTGCCGTTGAACTGTGTGCGTGTTATTGTTAGCAATTTCCCATTTTCCTGCAAGAAGCTTGTGCAATTTTACTCCTGTGTGTGTATGTACCTACAGTGGCGGGACAAAGGAGCAGGACAACTCCCTTTTACAGTGATTGAAAAAAGGAGCAGTACGCCACTTGTAACAGTGGTGGGAGAAAGGATGCTTAAAATAAAAATAGAATTGGAAATATCAAAGAGTCACAGAAAATTACATAGATAAACAAACTGGAATTTTTAACCAATCATTATTCAGATGTAGTTTCTTTGAAAGCTTTACTTTTATCTTAAAATAAAAGTACATTGTGAATGAATGTACAATTTAATGGAATTTTACCATAAAATGGCAATCACTTACAGTTATTTTATGTGCTCTTGTACAACTTTGTGGTGGAGCTGCGATAAGCACTCTGCAAGTTAGTCAGCTTGTTTCATTCTGTGTTGTTATCTGTCACGAATACAACTCATTTGTCTCGCCACCGCTGCCATGCCCATTTGTAGCGCCTCCACTGTATGTATACCCCGCAAGGTGGGCGCCTTCCAGGGCCAAGTTAAACTTTGGTTAAATCCATTCCGTTCGAATGCACGGCTGTATTCAGTACCAGTACCAGTGCCATTCCAACACCAACCCACGAAGCAGCGAATAATCAGTCAAGAAAACTAGCTTGTTGGCTGTGACGTCATCGATGGAGTACTGGCACCACTGCTTATGGCTAATTTATTCTCGCATTTCAGCGGCAGTATATATTCCACATGCCAATATAAGCGACTGAGCCACGTCCTGCGTCACAGCGAGAATTCCAATCACATCGAACGGATACGGACCGAACACTTACCCACCCAACCACCGCCCCACAACACCCAACACACCCGCAATGGATTCCCATTCGCGTTTCACACCGAGATTACCAGGTAAGTCCGCCGGCCGCTTGGCCAAAAGTCATGCTTCTCGATTCGAATACCTAGTTTTGATCTTTGGTTTCGTAACTGCTTAGCATTTTGAGTGCCATTGCAAGCGATTTGCCTTGTTGGTTGCCGCGAAAGAATTCCCAAAACATTGACAGAACCGCAGTCTAGTAAAGGTGAACTTTGCTTAATGTAATATAAATAATATGTTGTAAAAGGTTTACAAATTTAAAAGAAAAAAGGAAGACAAAATATAAATTCATTGTCTTTTAACTAAAAATAACTTTAATATTTACGAAAACATCATGAACTTTTAGTTTCTTTGTAAAAATCCAACTGATTTGTAGTAAGAGAAAATCCACCTTAAGCAAGTTCACCTTTAGACGGGTTTTCCCCACCAATCTGTCTTAAGTTTTGGGGGTCATTTGGCCGCGCCGCTTTTTTTTGTTTTCATTACCGTTTTGTAGCTTTTTTTTTGAGGGGGAGAGCTGCTCCCCACGTTGAAGAACTAACAGTAATAGCCAGCGATTAAAACTAATTTTTGTGCCCCGCCCCGCCTTGCCTATTGCCTAACCCCCCATAACCGCCCCGTAATCCAACCTCTTTGTTTTTGGTATCAAGTTGTGCTACTAACCCCATTTCAAACTGTAAAACCCAGCCTATATGGGCAGCTCACAGTTTCTCTCTCTGTACATACATATATCTTGCATAAATATATTACTATCCGACATGTTTGCTTGGTTTGTTGTGGATCCTATGTTACTACTTTTCGCTAGCTGTGTTGTTGCCAATATGTTTGTTACGAGATTGCGTTTGTGTGATCGTTATCCCTAGACCTAGCTTAGAGTCCCCCAATCCCCGATTGTCTCTGTTCTGTTCTGTTCAGTAATTGTCTGCCAATAATAATAGCGAAACAGTAAGATTTTTGATTATCTATCAAATCAGATGCCAATGTACTCATCAAATTAAATTTCTCTGATTCATGTCTATTCACTTACTCAAACTCAATCCGAACTAAACTTGTTGCCTCAGGCCGTCAAAATACTTAAGTGAAAGCATTACTTGTAAGATTACGTTTTTGGAATACCAGTCCGCCCCAGGAAAACTTACGAGATTCACAAATGCCTTACTTCTCGCACCCCAAGGTCCCGCCATCAATCCGATCGTCGACAACTCGGACGAGCCCCAGCCGAGTCTCTCCGACCTGCACGACTTTGAGCCGAAGCTAGAGTTCGACGATACGGAGCTGCTGGCTCCCTCGCCACTGGAAAGTAAGTGTAATATCCCTCTCAACCGGGAGAGTCACAAACCAGAAATCAGAAAGCAAAAAAATCAAGGAACTTATTGAGTTTCTAGTGATTTATTTGTATAAAACAATTCATTGAAGTAGACGTAGGGAAAATGTGTTGTAAATATACAGCAAGATTTCTGTGACTTCCCTGGCACTAATAAATTCTCTGATTCATCCGCAGAAGATGTTATGGTCGGTGACTTTGTACTGGCCGATGGTGAGTAAGGAAGTTAGCTTTGCTTAGTCGATGACTTACCTCTCTTGCTTCATGTAGATTCTGAACTAGAGCCCGAGGAGGATGTGAATCCTTTGGAAGACGATTTCGAGGACCAACTCAGGGATCAGTCCGAGACTTTTCAGACTCCCAAAAATAAATGCGATTTTCTGGGCACCGACAAACAGGGTCGTCATATTTTCGCAATTTACGCGTCACGCTTTCCCGAAAAATCACAGCTTGAGGCCTTTGTAAGGTAAGAAAAAATATAAATATAACCTTTATTATTTTTTAACGGACTTCTTTGTCTCTTCTTTTAGGGAAATCATTAAAGAGATTGAACCGTTTGTGGAAAACGATTACATACTTGTGTATTTTCATCAAGGCCTCAAGGAGGACAACAAACCCTCGGCGCAGTTCCTGTGGAACTCGTACAAAGAGCTCGACCGCAACTTTCGCAAGAATCTAAAGACTCTGTATGTGGTGCATCCAACGTGGTTCATACGGGTCATCTGGAACTTCTTCAGTCCCTTCATCAGCGACAAGTTCCGCAAGAAGCTAGTCTACATCTCCAGCCTGGACGAGCTGCGCCAGGCGCTCGGCCTGAACAAGCTGAAGTTGCCGGACAACATTTGCGACCTGGACGACAAACTGAACCCCAGCCGGAAGCCATCGACGCCGCCACCCAGCAGCAGTACCAGCATAAATGCATCCAGGCAGCAGCAGCATAAAATGGCGACGACGCATCAATTTGGGGTACCCCTGAAATTCATCGTGATGAACAGTCCCTGCCTGAACTCCATTCCGCCGATCGTGCGCAAGTGCGTGGACTCGCTGTCGATTACGGGCGTGATCGATACCGAGGGCATATTCCGGAGATCGGGCAACCACTCTGAGATTATGGCGCTCAAGGAGCGCGTTAACCGCGGTGAGGATGTGGATCTGAAGAGCGTAAATGTCCACGTAATTGCCGGTTTGCTGAAGAGTTTCCTGCGTGACCTTTCCGAGCCGCTACTCACGTTCGAGCTGTATGAGGATGTGACCCGGTTTCTGGACTGGCCCAAGGAGGAGCGTTCGCGGAATGTGACCCAACTGATACGCGAAAAACTGCCTGAGGAGAACTATGAGCTGTTCAAGTACATTGTCGAGTTCCTGGTGCGCGTGATGGACTGCGAGGACCTCAACAAGATGACCTCCTCCAACCTGGCCATCGTTTTTGGCCCCAATTTCCTGTGGTCGCGCAGCACCAGCACCTCCCTGGAGGAGATAGCCCCCATCAATGCGTTCGTGGACTTTGTGCTGCAGAACCACAAGGACATCTACTTGATCGACGTCAATCAGCGCACGGTGTCCGTCGACTAGCGACTGGCCGCCTCTACCCACAAACAAGTCCGTAATTGTAAATTGTTTGATTTTAATGTTAGTCCTAAGTAAACCAACGGTTAGCGACAAAAAGAGCACACAAAACGGCAACGGAAACGGAAACTAGAGCTGAAGACAGTTTCGTGTATAAAGTGTACTGTACTCCTAAGTTGAATTTTAAACTGTGTGTGTAAGTGTGAGAACTGCTTGTAGCCCCAACTCCACGCCAACTCGCCCCCTGAATCACAATTATTCAGCTCCCACTGAGTGAGCGCTTAGTTCGATTGATTTACCAAAGACATTTGCTCGTGTTCGCTCTGTCCGGCATCGAGCAGCAGAGAAGTTCGAAACGAGATGTTATTATTATGTATTATGCAATAAACGCACATTCCCCATAACCGGAACAAACGAATCTTGGTTGCGTTGCTGAAGGCACCTCTCTCACGTATGGAAGTGGAGTTGTGGCGAACTCGAAAATCGTATGTGTAGAATTTTGAATTTCCTTATAGTAATTAAAGAAAACAATTTTTATATAA